ATATAAATAAAAGTATATATATATATATATTTATATATATATATATATATATATATATATATATAAATTATGTAAGGTTTTCAAATTAATTTTAAAATATTTTTAATAAATTAAAAGAATATAAAGTATTACAAATAAAAAAATTTATTTATATATTTATAAAATTAAAATAAACAAGAATATAATATTTTTTAAAATTATGATTTAAGATTTATTTTAAATGTAAAAATATTTTATTTAAAATAAAAAAATATTAAATTAATATAGAAGATTAAAATTAATTGTAAATTTTTTTAATTTGTTGTTAAATTTTAAAAAAATTAAATTAAAATTATATTTTATCTAAGTTTTTTAATAAATAGGATCTTAAAGAAAATTAAACTTTAAATGTAAATATTTAAAACAAATATAATAATAATTTATATATTAAAATATTAAAATATTATTATATAGGATTTAAAAATTAAAAAATTTATATAAATAAAATATATACATCTATTGTTTGAAGTGAAGAGATTATTCTAATAAAAAAATAAAAACACAAAAAATATTGATAATAAATTAATTAACTTTTTTTAAAAAAATATTTTATTTATTATAATTTCAATTAAAAAAAAAGTTATTAAAAATCGTAAATTCTATATGTTTCTATATATTATTTAAAAGATAGCTTTTCAATTTTATTTTTTAAAAAATAAAATAATTTATATAAAGATTATTTCTTTTTTTAAAAAAAAAATTAAAAAAGTAACATAAGTAAGAATTAATAAATAAAAAAATTGTAAAATATTAAATATTAAATCATTTTTTTTAAATAAATAGTTTATAAAAAATATAAAAATTAATATTCTAAAAATAACAATTAATATAATTAATCTATAAAATAATCAAGAAATACAAAAATCATATTTATTTATTAAAGAAAAAGGGTAAAACAATTAAATTTTATAAATAAAACATGTAAAGTTTAATAAAATTATTTTTTTTAAATAAAAAAAAATTATTGAAAAATATATATAGATATATATATATATATATATATTTATATATATTTATGTATTATATGTTTAAATATTATATTTATTATTTTATTATATATTAAATATTACTATTTAATTAATTTTAAACAAAATATAATTACTATTTTAAAATAAAATAAAATAATAATTAAAGTTTAATAAATTTATTAAATTTTATAAATATAATTTTTATATTCATTTAAAAAAAAAAAATATATATAAATAAAAATATTTATTATTTATAATAAAAAAGAAGAAAAAAATTAATAATATAAAATTAGTATTTATAAAAAAATAAAATTAAAAATGCTTAAATAATTCGCATTCTTTAAAAAAAACATAAGAAATATAATCCCAAGAATAAATTACATTCCAAAAAAATTTAAAATGTAAAATAAAACAATCAGAAATATAAATTAAAAATAATTAAATAAAAAAGAGACTTATTAAACGAAAAAGATCGTATTAGAGAGCCCGTAAATTCTTAATCGTTTTAAAACATGCCTTAACAACATGACAATTATGTTTATATAGAAAAACAAGAAGTAAATATTTCTATATAAATAAATAGATATTTATATAAAAATAATAACAATGTTTTTTATATTTAGATAGAAAGCAGAATATTAAAAGTATTAACTAATTTCGAATAAGTGAATTTAAAGACATTTTAATGGAATTAAGATTTTAAATAATTATAATTAGATAGTTTAGATTAAATTTCTTTAATAGTTCTTATAGAACATGAATTTAAAATAGTTTTTCCAGACGGACTTTTTGAAGGCTTTACTAATATTGAATAAATAGTTAAACATATAGAAAAAAATTCAAATGCAATTTGATAAGAAAGAAAGAAAGGAAAAAAAAAAAAAAGAATTATATATATTTATATATATATATATAAATAAAAGAAAATATTTATAAATATATATATAAATATTTCTTTTAATATTTTTTATAGAAATTATATTTCATATTTATTTTTAAATTTCCTATAATTCATTTTATAATTTAATATCTATATTTCTTAGTTTTTCTAATCTAATATCTAATAAATAAGTTTATTTAAAAAAATAAAAATAAAAATAAAAAAACTTTTATATTCCCTTAAATTCTATAAATATTAAATTGTATTTTCCATATTTCCTAAATCTTAATTTAATTATTAACTTTTAGTTTTAGATTCTTAATATTAATATATAATCTCCTATATAGGCAATCCTAAAAGTAAAGAATAAAGAATTATAGTATAAAAAACACTCACTCCATTAACAATAGCTTCTTCTTATTTTAATTGAGGAATTCTTTTAAATAAATAATATATAGAAAAAAAAAACATTAGAATCATCAAAAAACATATATAAACAAAAAGCAATATATATTATATAAAAATAAATAAAAAAAAAACCTAAAATTAACAGTACTAAGTTTCATCATTTTTCTATTTAATAAAATTTTATATTTATGTTGGGTATTTCCTAAATATTTAAATATATCTAAAATATAGGGATTTAATTTTCCTTCTTTATATTTTTTTTTAGTGTATTCTTTTTGATAATTTATTAATGGTTTAGCAATATTTCTTGAAATTAAAGAAAATATTTTAAAAAAAGGCAAAATCATTGTTTTTTTTTTATTTTTAGTTATTTTTTAAATATAAATATATTATTTTTATAAAATTTATTTTTTTATTTTTTCATTTTAATTTCGTTAAAATTCTGAAACAAGAAATACTTCCTAAAATAGAAAAACCGCCCAAAAAATATTTCTCTTTTATATATTTACTTCCTAATACCATCCCAACAGCCCAAATAAAGCTTAATCCAGGAAAACAAATAGCACTAGTGAAAAAAAGAGGCATTATATTATTAAAAGTAGCCTATTTATCTTAAAAATCTCTTTAATTTTCTAATGTTTTCGCCTAATCATCATCTGATAGGCATTCGAAAAAAAGCCAATCGCCCATATCAGGTAATCCTTCTTCATTTATACCGAATCTAACATTAAACTTTCCGTATTATTAACTAATATTGATAATATTTTTAGAATAAATCTCTTTTTTTTACTATTAAAAATATTAATAATTATAAAATCTTTTCCAACACAAATAATTTATCATTCCAAAACATAAAAAATGTTAAAAATTTATTTAAAACTAAAAACTAAAAATTTCAAAACCTTTAAAAAACATAAAAAAATAATAATATAATTATATAAAAAAAAAAAAAATTAAAAATAAATTTATAAAAAATAGTATATTTTACATTATATAATAAAAAATAAAGATTTAAAGAAATAAATATATGAATAAATATTATATATATATATATATATAAATATATATACATAAATATATATATATCTATATTTATATATTTTTAAATTTATATTTTTAATTATATATTTATAAATATATATATTTTTTTTATAATAAATATAAAAATTAGTAATATGTTTTTGATGAAGTTATTACATATAATAATTTCGTTTTTATTTCCTATATTCTTATTATTTTCTAAGAACAATTAAAAGAATTA